GGTGGGGGGGGGGGGGGCAAGGGATTTGAAAATGATGTGTTGTCAACGGCAAGGTGTCTATGTGCCATGTTTCAGCTCGACAGATTGATGGGAAGTGGGCCAATTAGCCACTCGAATGTTTAGCCACAGACCCAGCAACACACGAACAGAGGCGAAGTTAATATTGTGGAGAGTTCGGACCACGACGGGACCACGACGGCGCCGGGGGCGTCCGACCAGGGATTACCGGCCGTCTGACCAGGTACAGCCGGCGCCATCTGACCAGGGATCACGATCGACGGATCAAGCGCCGGGGGCGGTACCGGGCATCTGAGCAGGACATTCACCTGGGACGACTGGGTAACCTGGCGCCGACTGAGAAAAGGGGCGGCGCAAGTACAGACCCAGGGACCTATAAATAGGGACCTCTGAACGGGACAGAGAAGCAGATAGCAGGGAGAACTCGGACGGTGTAAGAAGAGGGAGTCAGAGTTGTGAGATGAGAGAAAGTATAAGTGAAGTGTCAGCCTAATAAAGAACAAGATTATAATCATCAGATGTTATCGCCTGAGTTGTTTCCTTAGTGGATGCCAGATATAGATGAAGGTTAGCAGAGAGTAAGCAAGGTTTCCTTACAATATCAAGGATTTAAAAATAACAGGTGATTGTTTCTTTGCATCGTAAAATAACGTGTACATTTCTATAAAAGAAAACAAAAAAAACCGATCAAGTTACTCTGTTTTTATTTGATCATAGTGTCTACCATACCGGTAGTAGAAGAGCATTGAACATGCTGTAAATATCAATAAAGCATTAGTTGATAAACGTGTTGAATCTGTGATTGATGATCGAGTCATAGTGTAATAAAATCGTATTTAAGTTTAAAAATTATCAAAATATATAGGATGTTACCGGTTACAGATATTAAAAATAAATGATATGTCTTTCACAAACATAAACTTGCTAAAATCGGTTATAATATTTTACAAATAGGTTTCCGTGATTATGATTTTTCTTCCGAAGTTTTGCCATTATTCACAAGGTAATTTTTACATGATATGCACAAAATCTCCATTGTCTATTTACAACTCTTTCTCTCTCTTTCTCTCTCTCTCTCTCTCTCTCCGCCTCTCCCTCTCTATCTCTCTCTCTTTATATATATTTTTTTTAAATGTATTTTTAAACCTTTCATGTTCTCGGTTTGCTCAGCAAAATTTCAAAAATATGAACATGTATCTAACTATTAAAATCCGTGTTCCTGTATCACCTTCAACATCCAATTTGTATATTCAGACACCCGCACGAAAACATTAGGGAAAAGTTTTCCCATGCAGTTATCTCTGATGCCAACAAAACTAGTCAAGCCCACGACGTAGTACCGACCTCCAACCTTGCAACTTATGGGTCCCCCCGAATCGCCATAACAGACACTGGGTCCGACCAGGTCGGTGCAGACTTGACGCCGATCTACGATTTGAGAAAATAACCTCCACGTGTAGACGCAAATGCTCTGCGGCATAAGCCTGTTTCCACCGAACTGTAAAGGGGGCACCGGCTGACTTCCGTTTGGTGAAACCTTCCCCCAGCCAGAAACAAAACAAGACTCTACCCCTTCGAAGTCATCCTCTTTCCTGGGTAGACATATTGGCTTGACGTGGTCATTGAAGACAACTGGTGAATCAAACTTGACCAGCGCCACGTCGTCGGTCAGCGCGGTTGAATTGTAGTCTTCGTGAACGACCACGACTTTTGGTGTTCTTTCCTGGGCGGAGGGATTGTCCTTATCACCGTACAGATTCAGGGATCCCAATACGGTGACGGATTTGTTGGTCTTGAAGCAATGGGCTGCCGTCAGGGCCCATGATTTAGAAATGAGGACCCCGCCGCAGAACTTGCCGTCTCTGGAAAAAGCCACCTGCCATGGGAAGACCGTTTCTGGCGCGGGGCCACCGCCAACGATCGCCTCATACGGATGCATGGCACTCAGGCCGCAGGGGAGTTGATCCAGTAAATCTTGCAGAGTTGTGTTCTCGGGCGACTCGGGCTCCGATGAGTTGAGCTGACTTCTCCCGGTGAACTTGTTGTACATCTCTTGATATATCTCTATTCCTTGTTCCTCGATGGCAAATATTTCGCATGGGTTCCCAGTTGAAGTAATAGACGAAAGCTGCAGACGATATTTAAAATCTCATCGTCATCAAGATTCATCGATGTTAATTAGACATTATGCTACTAACATTTATTGGAGCTCAGATGTCATAGGTTTAAACAGGTTAAAAAAAAGCTAATGTAATGGGTAGAAGATTTTTTTTTTTAAATTGTCAAATTTCAGCTTAATTAATAGGCGTGAGGTGGACAAGTGCCTAAAATCATTAACAGGTAGCAGTTGACTATCCGTAGGGCAGTAATGTATAATTGTGTGCCCGCTTGTCGTTATGATTATTTCACAATCTCTTAATTTAAAAACAATAGTCTAAGCTTTTCTGATGTTCGTAGATTATTTTTAAAAATGTGGTCAAATACTAGAACGTTTACCAAATATATCCTTTTATTTATCATTTAGACATTGATGGTCTCCACTGCACTATAACATAATAAGAAATATTATATGTCAATGTCAAATATAGTTTGGGAGAATATATGATCAATCTTTATTGCAAGTATAAATGGTCGATTGTTGAGTTGACATAGGCTTTTGTTATTGTTTGCGTTAATGTTATAAAAGTACAAAGATCTGGAAGACAGGAAATGAGAAATGCAAAGTTAAGAGTTTGTCCCATGGTGCAGTGGAAGACAGGTAATGAGAAATGTAAGGTAAGAGCTTGTCCCATGGTACAGTGGAAGACAGGTAATGAGAAATGTAAGGTAAGAGTTTGTCCCATGGTACAGTGGAAGACGGGTAATGAGAAACCCAATGTCATTCGTTTCGTCACGAGAAAGTCATGGCAAAGTCCTCACTGCACACACATTTTGGGGGTTTGTACCATGACAGGTGGAGAGTGGGGCTATTATCTATACACATTTGATACATGCTTTGGACTGAGTAGGAAATAAGATGTTTAAAACATAGCTCCGCAACCGGTGTGCCGCGGCGGACTGGTGTGCCGCGAGATGATGCAAGGTTTGTCGAGCAATATGCCTTCTAAATGAAGGAACAGGACAGGTAGGCGCATAAATAAACCATGTTGACAACCTGTCCAACACCGCGATAACAGAAATGTGCTCAATTCAGACAGTTTATTTGGAGTCTTCTACTGTAATAGTGTACCTTTTTTAGAACTACACGTCACATTGAATGTGTAGTACATTATGTTATTTAGTATGTTATTGTTTTTTTTTTGTCTACGTTTACTTATGGTACGACACGGAAATGCTTGCAGAGGCCTTACGTGTGGCGGGGGTGGACGAGAAAAAGGTTGCTGAGCTGATGTCTAAATAATGCAGAAGGGAAATTGTTTTGGTATAGAGGAAACAATATATAGAGAACATGTTATAAAGTATAAACAACTTGTGTAATTGTGTCATATGCTAGGTGTAAATATGACAGTCTAAATGTAAAGTCAGTGTAGATATGTCAGTCTTAATGTAAAGCAAGTGTAGATATGTAAGTCTAAATTTACAGCTAGTGTAAATATGTGAGTCTAAATTTACAGCCAGTTTAAATATGTCAGTTTAAATTTAAAGCAAGTTTAAATATGTCAGTTTCAATGTACATCATCGAGTAAAGTAAAATACCTAATTCAGCTAACATGCCAATATCTCTCAACTTACGACTGTAAGAAAGAGATGTGGAAAAATAGTTGACGTTAGCCAGATGGTTCTTTCCATGGCTTCATTCTATAAAAGTCTTGTTCATTTATGATGGAATCGCTCTTCTAAAACATTGCCTCATCTTTGGTTTACAACGTAGCAGAGTACGATGTTTGAGATGTTTCTTAAAGTAGCAGAGTGCAATGTTTGAGATGTTCTTAACACAGTAGAGTACAACGTCTCAGGTGTTCTCACATTGTTCATTTGTCAGATCACCTTGGAAAAAAATAACACGATTTTTTTTTTTTTTACATATTTAGAAAATAAATTATTACATTATTTTTTAAATAATTCTTTAAAAGCTCGGCATTGGCCAAGAAATCTGTTCAATTGCTATGATCATACTTTGAAAAAAATAATTTTAATACAAAATGTAGTGCCGACTACAAACAAATACAACGTTCATATATTTATAAAACTATACATTTATATTTATATATATATATTTGTTAATGTGTGTGTATATATATATATATATATATATATATATATATATATATATATATATATATATATATATATATGTGTGTATATATATATATATATATATATATATATATATATATATATATATATATATATATATATATATATCCTACCTATACCTAAAAATTAAATTCGTTTATGTTCGGTAATGTTTGTTAATGATACAAATAAATACTTCCAAGCAATCTGGGATTGCATTATTTAATTTTATTATTATTTATTAATTTTATTATTTTTTGGAGGTGGTGGGCCCACTAAATACATATACACTTGGTTTACTTGTTCTGCAATGTTAAGCATACATGTAGAGATTATTCATTTACCGAATTTAAAAAAAAATCATATAGGTTTCGCCACTAGCCGAATCTGGAATGGTTATACGTATACCCGAGTATGGATTAGGTTAAATTTTAATTTGAAATTAATGCACTAAAACTTGGGTCTAGTGGAACAAATGGATGAATTTTTATATTAGAATTTTTATATGGGGGTGGGATAAAGAATACAATAATAACATATTTACTTTTCATAACTTGACGCCTGGGACCTATCATGCCTAAAGACACCTTTAATATTTGAATTATCAATTACATATTTTTTGTAGTCAGTTGTTTTATTTTCTTTCTTGGAGTCCTTGAAATTAATGGGATGGTTTGTTTGCTTTTGGCTACAAGAAAAAAAAAACTTTCTAAGTCTAGCACTGACAGCAACATCACCACAACTTTCTAAGTCTAGCACTGACATCAACATCACCACAACTTTCTAAGTCTAGCACTGACATCAACATCACCACAACTTTCTAAGTCTAGCACTGACATCAACATCACCACAACTTGCTAAGTCTAGCACTGACATCAGCATCACCACAACTTTCTAAGTCTAGCACTGACATCAACATCACCACAACTTTCTAAGTCTAGCACTGACAGCAACATCACCACAACTTTCTAAGTCTAGCACTGCTAGCAACATCACAACAACATTCTAAGTCTAGCACTGACATCAACATCACCACAACTTTCTAAGTCTAACACTGCTAGCAACATCACCACAACTTTCTAAGTCTAACACTGCTAGCAACATCACCAAAACTTTCTAAGTCTAGCACTGCCAGGAATATCCCCAAAACTTTCTTAGTCTAGCACTGCCAGGAATATCACCAAAACTTTCTAAGTCTAGCACTGCCAGCAGTATCACCAAAACTTTCTAATTCTAGCACTGCCACCAATATCCCCAAAACTTTCTAAGTCTAACACTGCCAGCAATATCACCAAAACTTTCAAAGTCTTGCACTGCCAGCAATATCACCAAACCTTCAAAGTCTGGCACTGCCAGCAATATCACCAAACCTTCAAAGTCTGGCACTGCCAGCAATATCACCAAACCTTCAAAGTCTGGCACTGCCAGCAATATTACCAAACCTTCAAAGTCTGGCACTGCCAGAAATATCACCAAACCTTCAAAGTCTAGCACGGCCAGCAATATCCCCAAACCTTCAAATTCTGGCACTGCCAGCAATATCACGAAACCTTAAAAGTCTGGCACAGCCAGCAATATCACCAAACCTTCAAAGTCTGGCATTGCCAGCAATATCACCAAACCTTCAAAGTCTAGCACTGCCAGCAATATCACCAAACTTTCCAAGTCTAGCACTGCCAGCAATATCACCAAACTTTCAAAGTCTAGCACTGCCAGCAATATCACAAAACAAGATGAATCCGAGATATACGGGTTGAAGTTAGCTAATCTAAGCGAACGAACAACAAGTCCGACTACTAGCCTCAGCGAACAACAAGTCCGACTACTAACCTCAGCGAACAACAAGTCCGACTACCAACCTCAACGAACAACAAGTCCGACTACTAACCTTAGATGCCTTTCATGAAATATACTCCAAACGCCAGCATCTGTCAGGCTAAGTACGATTGCTTATCCCCTCGGGAAAATACGAAGCTGAGGGGGGTCCCCCTGGTCATGAAAAGACACAAGGATGGTTTTCAGTGTTCAGAGAGATATTTTAAATGTTAAAATAAAATGTAATCGTCGCTTCGGGAAACCACTTTCCCCATGACCGCACATGTTTTACAGAAGTCACGTTTGGTGCTCATAGCTTTACAAGTCTGCACTTTCTTAGAGCCTGTATAGAATACAGGGATTTCTATTAAAAAAAACACAAAACAAAAAACAGCAAATAAAACAATGTTAATGTTAAAATATATATTTAATCAATTGTTTTCAACTTTTTAAAAAATATGTTCATTTTAATAACTTCAAGCAATGTAGAGACGATCACATTTTAAGGAAGTTTTAAATCAACTTTTTTGTCGATCAGTTTGAGTTGTCAGGTTCGTGTCGGACATTCTTTCGTCTAACACTTCTTAATTAATATTAACCGGCCTTGCAGCGTTTCCTGTGCAATACTATCAACGGTGTACCTAGGTATCCGGCGCCCATGGCAAAAGAGGGGGGGNTTGGTGGGAGGGGGGGTGGGGTGGGGGGTGGTTGGTGTTGTCAGAATTTTTGTGTGTTAAATTTGCATTCGCTCTTGTTCAATTTCAGTAGGCATAAACACTACTCAATGGGTGCAGACAGCCCAGAACAGAGCCAGATGGAGAGCTACTGTCAAGAAGGGGGCTAAATCCCATGAAGCTAAGAGAATAACCACAGCTGAGACACGCAGGCTTGGCCGAAAGAGCAACATTAGGTCATCGTCTGAAGTTACTATTCCATGCCCACGGTGTCATAGATTATTCCGTGCAAGGATCGGTCTAACAAGCCACCTAAGAGCTCACCGTAATCCCAACCCCCCCCCCCCCCCCCCCCCCCCCCCCCCCCCACCCCCCCCCCCCCCCCCCCGCCTCTAACCGGATGATTCGATGGTCCTTGTCGACTTCGACGGACGAACAACATTTTAAATTCCAGATATAGGGTTTTATTGCCAAGGAATCTAAATATTTATCGCACACTGTAGCCGCCATGTCCTTATGAAATACACGATGACAGTGTAAAGTAGAACAACCTGTGAAGTCACTTAGGGGGTGCGCCGGACGTGTACCTCACTGGATGACACCCGCACAGGGGGCTGACTTCAAATGGAAATTGTTAAAGTTCTCTCGAGTCAGTTTTATAACAGACCCAAAAAATGAACAGGAGGCCACCACCAGATAAGGGTGTCAAAAAAAAGGTGTCAACAAAACAGGGTGCTATAAGACCAGATTGCCACAAGAACAGGGTGTCACGAGAAAGAGCTTAGGTGTCAAAACACACAGGGCATCACAGTGCAGGCTTCCACCACACCAGGATGTAATAAGCACAACAGGGTGTCATCAGACAGAACAGGGTGTCATCAGAGAGTTAAGAAACTTTCCCCATCATCTCATTAAAAGACTACACTTATTGATCATCCATTAAATTCTTGCAAATGCTTTAAAACAGGGGTCACAAATTCGCGGCCCGCGGGCCATTTGCGGCCCGCAAGACTATATTTTGGAGCCTGCTACATAACAGCAATTTTAGTGTTAATGCGGCCCGCGCGTTTTCCCCATTCTCATATCTATAATGTGGCCCGCCGCGACGGGTTCAGTCGAATCTCACCGACTAGTCTACTCTGATTTGTATTATGTTTGTATAGATTTGGACGTTAATTATAATGGTAGAAATCGTTTTAAAATCGGACTAGATTCTAAAGGTTTTTTTTTCTAGCATTTTTTATTTTCTAGCATTTTATGAGACAAACATAGCCAAAGAGCGTTTTTTAGAAAAGTCTAAAAAGTCAGTAAGTGGGTAATGCGCAACCAAAATTGTGTACATCGTAGCAATCTGACACAGTATCAAAGGATCCCTATTAAAATCGTCGCTAGTGTTTACGAGTGAGTGAAATTCTGAGCCTGTCAACTTGATCACTTTCAAAATACGGTTAGTCAAAAAGGATTTTTCTACGATAAAAAAAATCAAAATTCATTCTCCCTACAATAGCATCTTCCTTCGCTTCAATAATTCATAAATATTGCCTGCTCCTGCATACTATTTGAACACGTTTAAGCATTTACATCCTTTATGAAGAAGAATGGGGTAGTTGTTCCTGAAATAAGTGATCCCAAATGGCTCATGGACTTGGATTTTCTTGTTGACATTACACAGGAGCTGAATGTACTCAACAAGAAGTTACAAGACCAGACTTAGCTTGTCAGTGTTGCCTATGACAATGTCAGGGCATTCTGCACAAAACTTGTGTTACGGTTCTTAGAGAAACCTCTGCCACTTTCCAACATGGAAAGTCCTCATGGACTCGGGCACACCATTCAGTAGTAAGAATAATTTTGCCATTGCAAAGCTACAGGAAGCATTTAATCACACGTTTTTAGTCTTCAAAACACATGAGCCACTTTTCAGCTTTTTGATGACCTCTCCTCCTTTAATGAGGAAAATTCCCCCCTTTTTACCTTTTTTTTTTTTTTTTTTTTTTTAATTTGATTAAGAAAAATGATAA